CTCTTCCGATCTCTCTGTTTCTCATCATACATTTAATTTCCGGAGTAATCCATGGGACCGAGTTCCGCTTTACTCGCTTATGTCGAATCGGCGCATGTATATTTAATATCTCATTAAAGAAAGATTTCCATACCCTCCAGCATTCGTTGGAGATCGGAAGAGTGATTAATTACATGCCAAGGCATTCTGGCTAAATCCCCAATAAAATATTCAGCATTAAAATGTTTATAATCCCTAACTTCTTTCACATTAGGTTTGAGTTTTGGAAGGGTGAACTTCCTGACCACATAAATCAAACTATGGTCAGACATCCCATATTTATTACACCAGACGTCGAAATGTTTTCTTTAGCATTAGTTAAGACCAAATCAATCAAGGTCGCCGAGGTGTTGGTCTCTCTTGTAGGTTTATTAATTAATTGGTCAAGTTGATAAAGAGAACACAAAAAGTTTAATTGTCGTGTATGGGCATCTGGTGAGGTTTTCATAACATCGCAGTTAATATCACCAATTATAATCAATTCCTTATTTTCAGGCCTATACCATGTGCAGACAAAAAGCGACTTGCTAAAGGGGCGAGTAATTTCAGCACACAGCATCTCAAGACGATCGGGCACCAAGTCATTCCTATCCAAATAGGATAGGTTGTCTCTGATGTACAACACCACACCGCCTCCTGCCCTATTACGGTCCTTTCTTATCAAGTTAAAACCAGGGATACTTATTTCCCCATCCATTACAAAATCATCTATTTTGGATTCATTAATAGCAAAAATATCGAAGGGAAATTTAAATAACAGATGCCTAATTTCCTCAATGTGTTTCAATAAGCTATTGACATTTATACTAGCAATTTTTAGGCCTTTTAATCTAGCGACGCAATGCAATGAAGAATCAAACTCACCCATTGTTGGACCACGGCATGCTTTACCTGAATTGTCATTCCCAACATCTAACGGCGAGGTTTCTTGTATAGTGGAATTGTCGTTGGTTGGGTTGTTAGCTGGGTTAGTAGTTGTCCCAGCTGATGTATTGGGTTTAAAAACCCCGTTTGCAGCTTCGCTCGTTTTCCCAATGGCCTAATAAATTTTATAAAATTATTGGCTAAATAAGCCGATCCCTTTGCGTTCAAATGTAGTTTGCTGCCGTTGAGGCATGTTCCATCAATACGCGAATTGTCAATAAAAACAAAGTCATCATTGTTAGCCATCTCCTTTAACTTTCCATTGACTGCAGATAACTTTGCCGACACATTGATATCATCTCTATGTATAATGCTGGAGATGCCAATCTTTGAATTTTAAAATTTTCTGCGAGTCTTCAAAGCCAGCTTTTGTATTTTTCGAACACATGAGTCTACGCTTTCGGATGATAGATTATTCGTACCTACATGAATAATTACATATGATAGTTCATCGTTCATTTGTATATTGTCTATTTCATCATGTATTTCTTCGACTCTTTTACCTGGAAACGACCGCTTATAGACTGTCTTTTTGGAGAGTTTTCGGGGGTCTATGTGCTTAATTATGGAGTCTCCAATAATCAAAACTGATTTCGGTTTATCGCTCGACTTATCGACGTCTTGTGTTGATGTTGATGTTTGACCTTGTCCACTGGCTTGGCTCTGGATAGCTTCGACAGGCTCTTCTACTTCGATAGCTTGCAATCCTTGCCCACTGGCTTGCCTCTGAATGGCTTCGACAGTCTCTTCGATAACTTGCGGTCCAGATATCGCTAGTGTAGAATATCTATTTTGGGTTGGAATATCCGGATAGGCTCTACTCAGTTGTTGACAACGTTGACAGTCGTCAGCTTCGTCGGAATTAATTTTCTCTCCAGTTGACTCGCTACTATTTAATGGTTGGTTGACTCCTAATTCTTTGTTTAATAGCCAGATAGCTGTAATTAGACTGGCTTTCTCTTCTTCCGCCTGTTTCACTTTATCTTGAAGGTCAGTTAGAGTGCAACTCAAATTATTTATCTGCTCTGTCAAGCGCCCATTTTCCTTTTTAAGTTCAAGATTTTCGTTTCTCAATCTGATCGCCTCGCTATCCGACTCTTGATTTTTAAATTGTTCAAGTCGATTCGAGTGCTCCAACAATGTACTGTTTACAGCTGACATGTTAGCACTGAATTCTTTTGCTAGGTCTTGCAGTTTATTGTTAAGAAAGTTTTTAAGGATCTCTAAGGGATCGTCTGCAACTATACAAGCAGGATTTGCATCCGCTTCGGGACGGCCGAGCGCCCCGCGGCATTTGGTATTATCAACGATTTTCTTTGATATAGAGGCTAAAGATTTTAGTTTCTTTTCGATTTCGTTCTTGTTTTTCCCACTGACTGTGATTGTTTGTGTCTTTACATACCACCGAATGGATGTATCATCATATTCAAAGAGTTTGCCATCGCCACCAGGGGAAGACCATTCTCCATCGCATAAATTCAAACCTTCTTCTACAAATTGTTGCAAGAGCTCATATGATGAGGTCCAAATTACTTTGCCTTTAGTGTTGACATCTAGATTGTGCAATAGACTTTGCTTCGGATCCATTTCTCCTAGCTTCACAATAAATAATTATCTGTAGACTTTCAGTAGACTTTTATAATAAATATAAGCGGAGCACTAAAACACACGTCTGTTCGCTACGACTTTATGTCCTGCACAAACACTTCAAATATAACTTAGAGTTAGAGACTAAACTAATACCAAATAAAATAAACCATAAAAACGTTGGATAATTCGCTCGCAAAGAAATGAAAGCTTGCGGAAAATGACTTACGGTTGCTCCAGTCGTCAAAAAGTGTAAAATACGCATATTCGAGTGAACACATACAACACGCATATTCGAGTGAAGCCCGTCTGTGAAGGCCTTTCGTTGGGAAGATAGTATGGTCTATGACGAAGGACCTTCGCTCGATACGCCGATGTTCCGTTTGTATTTTTGAGAGGTAGTCATATCTGTTGTGAAAAGAAACTGAATTAATTGTGGAAATCAACGAATTATGGGCGCATTTCGACCTAACTGCTAAGAGTATTCTTTTGAGGAGGAATCGGGGACACATTTGAGGTATAGATATGAGCAGCCGGATTGCTTCAAACTTCTATAAAAACTTCGATAGACAGAATTCCAGTTGCTATCTGGCTGTATGGATAGTTTAGTTTGATTGTTAGTTTAGTTTGATAGTTTAATAAAATCGCACTTCTTGCAGTAAAGTTACTGAACTACAAGGTGATTACAAGTGTAAATAAAGGTATAAATATATACATGAATTAAGATTAATATATAGCAATGCAGGTGTCTTGTTATTATTTGGCTACAAATAAAAATCTTTATTGAATGTCTATGCATGCTTTGATCATTGGCAAACAAATCAAATGAACGTCTTACCGTTTCCACAGACAAAACCTGTGGTTGAAGTGTTGGACAAAATGTCAGATACACTGATAGATGTAACGTCGCACTAATGCACTATTGCAGGGTTGAATTAATGTTTGCGAGAGGAAGCCCGGTTTTAATAACAACTGTCTCAGAAGAGTAGTTTTGACCCCTAGGGGTCATTTCCGTCCCTTCGGAAAGAGGGTAGTTTTTACTCCTCGAACGGGCATACTTCGAAATCCGGACGGGACTCGGAGAAAAACCCGGACCCGGACTCGAAAAAAATCCGGACTCGTGTTTAAAAAAACCCGGACTTGACTTTTGAAAACCCGGACTCGAAGTAGACAAAACCGGATTCAAAACAAGGACTCTGATTGCTTACCATTTACATGGAAAACCCATCCGGTTTGAAATTGTGCTAATTTAATGGTAGGCAAAATTTTGGATAGAAAATCCCATTCGGATTATGCGCTTTCCATTTACAGTGACTGACCGGAACTTACTGAAGGGTTGTTTACCATTTACATGGAAACCCGTCCTGTTTGAATTAAATCGCGAAGAGCCTGGAACTGGTAAAAAAATAAAAAAGATGCAACTGGAACAAAATTCACTGGGTGAAACGTTCCACTCGGTAAGAGAAGACAACCTTTTCAAACAAACCATTAATTCCGGAAATTTTCCGGTTGGCTGTCGAAATATGCTTGTTCCATTTACTTTCCGTATGGAATCACCGAAATTTCCATGTAAATGGTAAATAACCTCTGTGTACGAGAATGCAAAGGTTTTTTGGAAAGGTTTAATAATTAGTAAGATGATAAACGATGATCTCTTTATATCTTTATCTCGATATTTTTTAATCTTCTACTGTTAACAAAATAATCAGTTAGATATACTGGAACCAAATCATTTAGGCACTTACTAAGGTTATTAAAAACTAAAATGTATTGATGCATACGATCAGGGGCGTAGGAAGCTTCGAAAAGTTGTGGGGGCAGGCTTTGAGGGGCACTTTTCGAAAAAAAAGGGCATTTAAATATTATTTTTGGCGACCTCCCCCCCCCCGCCAAAAAATTTTCGGTCAGTGTGCCATTTTAAGGGTTAAAAAAGTTTTCCGGACTTATCAAAAAAAATTTTCCGGACATACCAAAAATTTTTCCCGATATATGATATTTTTTCCGGAAATTAAAACATTTTTCCGGAAATAAGATAGATTGAATTCTTCAAAAGTGCCCTATGAGCAAAAAATGCAATTTTAATGAAAATTTTTCACGCAAAAAAAGGCACTTTGCTCCCAGAAAAAGGGCACTTGCCAAAACTTGGGGGGGCTGCCTCCCTGCCCCCCCCGTTCCTACGCCCCTGCATACGATCTACACGTAGCTAGAGGGTAGAATGTTGATTGTTTATTCTCAAAATAACGTTATCTTGATTTATTGTCAAACTTCATTGTCAGTATCGAGCCGCGGTTGTATACAAGGCATATGGGGCAATTGATGAACGCATTGCCTAACGAGAGAGTCTCAATATCAAATTTACGCCAACCATCCAACGCGAATTTCACTGTCGGCCGCGGCTGCGGCTTTCATTGTGTTGTGTTTTCTACTATTTTTGATAAAGAATAATTGCGGGTGTTCAATTCATGTTTATGGACTTTATCTTAACGAAATTGAGAAAATAAATTTGTTTCCAGTGGTGTCTTGCCCAAATATTTGAGAGCATGATATAATATCAAATTTATGTCCATCCGCA